CTCTTGGAGGAGAGACGAAACGTTTCATTAGAGAAGAACCCGTCCAGAAGACCTATACTATTTTTTTCTTTTTGCTACCTTCACATGTTCTCCCGTCGACGTCACTCAGCTGGTACCCACTGTGGCAGTAGCACTGGTATGACCCGTACACATTGGTRCACTCCTGGCTGCAGGGTTTGCTTTCACATTCGTCAATGTCTGCACACAAAATAATGAAACAAACGTTACTTTTCTTAAACTTCTCACGACCGTACGGGGATTTAAATCCAAAGTGAGCCCACCCTCGCAGTTCCTGCCGTCGTACGCCAGTTTAAAGCCCGAGGAGCAGCTGCACTGAAACGACCCCGCTGTGTTCTCGCACTTATGRGCGCAGAGTCGTCGGGGGTAATGTGTGCACTCGTTAATATCTAATAAGAGGACAAAGAATGAACAAAAAAACACGGTTTCCGCCAGGTTAAATWTTCGTTCCGTACCTTGGCACAGCTTGTTGGCGGTGTTAAAAGTGAAACCGGGCCGGCACTCGCATCGATACGTTCCCTCCAGATTGACGCAGGCGTGGCTTCCACATTTTTTACCGTTAAGACACTCGTCCACGTCTGTAAGGTAAGACAAAAATAAATAAATAAATAAATAACAGCTTTGGAGGATTTTCAGTCTACCACCAGTAAAAAGTCTTTATAAAGCACAACAGTGACACCTACTGGACAAACCTGGCTCCTGCACACATAAGCTGTGAAACATTTTCATATTTGTGACTTTTTTTTTTCTAAATAAAAGCAGAAACATTTCCTCAGACTAACCTTCACAGCTGGTGCCGTCAGCAGACAGGCGGTACCCTCTTGGACAGGTGACCGTGTTGCTGTGACAGATGTACGAGCCCATGGTGTTGATGCAGGCCTGGTCCTGCTGGCAGTGGCTGGGATAGGCCTCGCACTCGTTGATATCTTATCAGAGACAAAAACTCCTTCAGCAGGAGAACTCAACTTTCACCAGGAGACCCTGGAACGTTAGAGTAAAACTGACCCACGCAGCTGCCCGAAGCATCCTGAGTGTAGCCTTGTCCACACGCCTCCTTCGGCTGACAGTGGAACGAACCGGCGGTGTTCACGCAGACAAAGTTTGCTCCACAGTTATGGATCCTCAGAGTACACTCGTCCACATCTGAAACAGGTAGAAGCAAAAAGTCATGAAATGTTATTCAAACTTGCTATATGCTATATTTAGCTATGATTTAGTAAATGTCATCATCCTGCTGTTTTTGCTAATCTTAGCTGAACTTTTTCTGCTTTTAGCTTTTATCAATTGTTTCATAAAATTAACATGTATCCTCTAATTTGCTACATGTAACTTTTGGCTAGTGTATTACTACTCTTGTTGTTTTGTTAAATTTATTATTGTTATTTTTTTTTTTGCTAGAAGTCTGCTAATTTTAACTTTAAGTTGGACTTTTCTTGATTTTAGCTTTTACTGCAGTTTTATTTCCTTTGTTGCTGATTTTAGGTTTACACTAAAGTTTTGCTAATCTAAACATTTTGCTACTGATTTTCCCTTTTAGCTTTTAGATATTGCATTACWACTTATTTGCTGGTTTTAGCATGTTGCTGCTGTTCTACTTAATTTTAGCTTTTAGCTACTGTTCTGATAAGTTTAGCTTTTAGCTACTACTCTGCCAGTTAAAGCTTTTTCCTATTGCTATGCTCATTTTAGCTTTTAGCTATTATTCTGTTAGTTTGAATCTTTTTCTACTGCTATTCTCATTTTAGCTTTTAGCTACTTTTCTGTCAGTTCAAGCCTTTTCATACTGCTATGCTCATCTTAGCTTTTAGCTACWGTTCTGACATTTTAAGCCTTTTCCCACTGCTATGCTCAGCTTAGCTTTTAGCTACTGTTCTGCCAGTTTAAGCCTTTTCCTGCTATAATTATTTTAGCTTTTAGCTACTGTTCTGGTCATWCTAGCTTTTAGCTACTGTTCTGTCAGTTTAAGCCTTTTCCTGCTATAATTATTTTAGCTTTTAGCTACTGCTATTCTCATTTTAGCTTTTAGCTACTGTTCTGTCAGTTTAAAGCTTTTCCTACTGCTATGCTCATTTTAGCTTTTAGCTGCTGTTCTGGTAATTCTAGCTTTTAGCTACTGTTCTGTCAGCTTAAGCCTTTTCCTGCTATGCTTATTTCATCTTTTAGCTACTGTTGTGGTAATTCTAGCTTTTAGCTACTGTTATGTCAGTTTAAAGCTTTTCCTACTGCTATGCTCATTTTAGCTTTTAGCTGCTGTTCTGGTAATTCTAGCTTTTAGCTACTTTTCTGTCAGTTTAAGCCTTTTCCTGCTATAATTATTTWAGTTTTTAGCTACTGTTCTGGACATTATAGCTTTTAGCTACTGTTCTGTCAGTTTAAGCCTTTTCCTGCTACAATTATTTTAGCTTTTAGCTACTGCTATGCTCATTTTAGCTTTTAGCTACTGTTCTGTCAATTTAAAGCTTTTCCTACTGCTATGCTCATTTTAGCTTTTAGCTGCTGTTCTGGTAATTCTAACTTTTAGCTACTGTTCTGTCAGTTTAAGCCTTTTCCTGCTATGCTTATTTTATCTTTTAGCTACTGTTGTGGTAATTCTAGCTTTTAGCTACTGTTCTGTCAGTTTAAGCCTTTTCCTGCTATGCTTATTTTATCTTTTAGCTACTGTTGTGGTAATTCTAGCTTTTAGCTACTGTTCTGTCAGTTTAAGCCTTTTCCTGCTATAATTATTTTAGTTTTTAGCTACTGTTGTGGTAATTTTAGCTTTTAGCTACTGTTGTGGTAATTCTAGCTTTTAGCTACTGTTCTGTCAGTTTAAGC